TGGCATACCAGCAGCGTGGTCAGAAAACTGCTTATTATGCAAAAAGCCAGAAACCATGCAACATGTGTTCCTAAACTGTTGGGACGCAGTTTTTTTTTTGCTTTTTTTTTGTTTTTTTAACGTCCTTTAGAGATCTCTGAAACTGAAAGTCGTTTGCAACTCCCTGTAACGCCGAATAAGAGCGCAGCTCTTGAGGAGGAGGATGGAGGGGTACTGAGAGGAGGGTATACTCCTCCTCCTCCTCCCCACATTCTTCAATCTCCTCCGGGGGGGGGGGGGGTGGTCACGTGACCTCGAGGGAGGGGGGGGGGGTGCTTTTTTTGGAGGTCGATACGGGGCAGTGACGTCCGTGACGTCCCTGCCGGAAACGTAAAAACAAGCAAAGACATGTCTATTTGTTTTTGTTTTTACGTTTTGCGGAGAGCTTGTTGCAGGTTGTTGTGTCTAGTGTTGGGGCAGGGGGAGACGGCGGTCGCGGCGTGTTATTGTTGCAGTGCCATACACTAAAGAACAGGCCAGATACACGAAACGATCTTACGCCAAGAATGTACGTACGTCAACGGCTCCCGAGCCGTCTTTCGATGATCAAATCAACCTGACCGACAACGTCGCTCAGTTACTTGGTCGTGACGATCAACGAACATTTATTTTTCTACGAGCTGCCCCCGCGGGTCCTGACTTCAAGCAAGAAGAAAAAAAGAAGGAAGTACTCGAAACCGGCCACGACGAACATGAACGCTGCATCCACAAACACCCGGAAAAAGGTACAACGGCAACGATGCCACCGACCGAGCGAGCTCGATGCCTAGCCGACACTCCGACTGGTCGCAGCGTTGCCGGCGTTGCTCCGACGGTCCTTGGCCAAGACCGTCTGCCCGAGACCGAATGTCCGAGGCAGTGGTGACGAACGCTGTCGTCGATTCTATCTCCGTGTTTTGTGCGATATGGAGCTCAAATAAACACCGTATGAATTACCTTCGCAACACGGTATGTAGACTTTGTTATAAGGTAGCCATATTTTATTCAGACACGCTTGTCGCCGCGGAGGCGCGTTCACGCTCAATTGTTTCCGATAGTACATTACTGTCCGGTTATAACTGTTTGTGGGAGCTACGCAATGCCGGTCCCACCTTTCTTTGCCGAGAGTCACGTCAGTATCCACTGGTACTCGTAAAAGATCGGTTCCGAAGCACTTCGATCAAACGTGCACTTCCGCTCCGAGTGTGCACAGGTATTTATGCGGCTCTTGCTGACACTCTCGTAGTTGAAACGTCAGCTCGCTCCTGCACCTCCGAGGCCGCGGAAAACGCCGCGGCGATTTGCTTCTATCTGCGTCGCTTTGCAAACGACTGGCACGGGCCGTTTTTTACCAATTATGACAGTTGTGTTGACTTCGGAGAAACGAGCTGGGAGCATACTGAGGTGGAGTACGCGAAGTGAAGATGTGAACCATGACCGGCTTTGTTAAGCCGGTCGTGAGGTGAACACCGTGGAGGTGAAGATGTCAAGGTAACAAAATAAACCGGACGTCACGTCACAGATGTCAAACTACTATTCTGCTATTTCGCTCTGCCTCGTATCAATTTCCGAAGAAGGCAACCCGATGGGAAGTTACGTGACCCCCCTCGCCCCCCCCCCCCCCCCGAGGTCACGTGACCTTGGGAGAGGAAGGTGGGCTCGCGCGGTGCATTATGGGACATTTCCCACAATGCACCGCGCAGTTACGCCGATGGCGACGGCGACGCTGACACCGCTCAAGCCGGAAACGGGCGCCTAAGAGCTGCACTCTAAAAAAAAAATCTCTTTAACGTCCCACGGAATTGGGCTCGCTTTTACCCTTGTAGTCTACCTCGATAACTATATGTGCCACCATTGACAAACAGGCAATAAATTAAAAAAAGAGAAAAAGGTAATCGTTGCCTAGTCGGTAACGTGTCTGGCACTCAACAAATTTTTGTAGAATCTAATCCATTCTCCACCTAAAATTTTTAATTGTTTTTTAAGCAAATTAATTACTTTATAAAGTGAAATCATTTAAGACATGCGGCTCCTTTTAATTCGCATAACATGCTATGTTTTAAACAACTTCATTCCACGCATGAAGTTTCACGAGAGGGCTTTTGGATGTTTGAGATTCCCGCGCGAGGACACGTAGCTCTGACGTCATGACCCTGTCGACCAATCAGGATTTTCTCGTCACGCCGTTTTTTTGGCACGCCATAGAGTACGGCGCAATGCTTCAAACAAATCATTAGTGGGCGCTTGTGTGATGCGTTTCTGGCTACACTGGACGACACGAAATAGACCAGAAGTAGGCTAGCCTCCAATCTTCCATCATTCTCGCGTGATTAGAATGTGTGGCTAGTGAACAAACTTTTTTAAATAGAATAATATATTATCATAATTAGCACTGCATTGATAGTCCATGCACATGAAACGTGCACAAATTATAAGAACTGCTCTTGTACCTACATGGTGGCTTACCTTATCCTGCTGTTGCACGGCCGTTCCCAGGAATGCTATATAAAATCCAGTATTAAAACCAAGCTACACATTTCCCGGGGAAAACAAATTGTCACTTTAGCACACGTTTTGTGTTGATTCATTTCACATATATCAATAATTTAGTTAAGACTTTTTCATACTTTTCTAACAGAAGTTTGAAGTATTCGACAAATGCCTAATGGAGCTTTAAAATCATCGTACACTAACACTGCAACATGTGGAACGACACCTTAAAACCAGCTAAGTAAATATCATGTTGCGTCTCTGGCCACAGCTAGATACCTCCAACCATTTCGCGCTTCACTTAACTATATCCCAAGGAATCATTCTGTTACTTTCCCTAATTGGCCTTCTGCTGTTGCGATCGCTCTTCCTATTATCTGATCCAACAATCGATCGACTGTTACTGAACATATCAATTAACCGCACTAAACCAATATCCTCGACATAGCGTACTAGAGCAAGGGGCAACTTTCTTGTATGCAGTAACTTTAAGTCATGCATATTTTATTAGAATGTTTGAAGTAATGTATGTGCTTTCACGTTTTCGAACAATCAATTCAGAAACTAAAACTGGAATAATAACACTCTTGTGTATGACGGAATGCACGATATAGTTTAATGTTAATATTAAATTAAAACAAGCCATATTAAATTCAACGCGGACGTTGAAATAAGCAATTTTTCGTTTTATTTACAGATCGTCAACAATAAAAGTTCTCGTTCATATATTTACAATTTCATGCTGACTATACAGTATGATACATTTTTGTTTTAAATTGGAACACAGTTTTCCTCAGTTCAAAAATTACTATTGCACAACCCGAAACATCGTGGGACAATTTTACGAAGGGGAATATTTCAGATGTTTGAAGCCCGGAGGAGTTATAAGCACACCCGACAGCTTTGATATCCTCATTAAAGAAATAGAAAGTGCGCTATGCATTGTCAATTCTAACGGTTAGTGAATAAATACAGTGGTTTGAGAGATGAAAGTCAATCTGATGTTTGTCGTAAATTTATAATGAAGGACCACAAAAGAAAAATCATTTCGACAGGCTCTTCAGCAACATCCGCTGTCGTAATAATTTCAACAAGCAAAACAGTCTTTTTTTATAAATAACCTCGTACTCTATGCCGACAAACTACACAGAAACATAAAAGTGTTCACACTGCAAGATAGGACTTTGTCGGAAGTATGTTTTCTCCGTAAGCGCAACGTGTTATTTTCGGTCGCGGCATTTACTGCAATAATATATTTTGTCTTGGTTTGCATTCTCACGTTATGAGTCGCATTGACAAAACCTGTTCATAACCTCTCAATAAACACTACAAGCTACCCTTAACAAAGTTCATTACTTTTTATTGAATTTCATTCGTGAATCTGTTTTGGATAGATTTTTTTATCAAGTAGCAAACTCAGCTGTAATCAAGCAAACATGTATTAAAAATAAACAAGCACTAAGCAAAAAGAAATTCATGATTCATATTCCCTGCTTGCTGATGTCTTCAAAAATATTTACGTTTTAGACAACTGAAAATCAATTTTACTTAAATGAAACCCAAACGACCTTGTGGCTGACGCTACTGTTTATGCGATTTTTGAATTGTCACAAACTTCAAAAACGTGCAACAAAACTCTGCCTTCAAAAAAAAAACAGCGCTGAAAACACATGCACCGTCACAGCAGAAAGTTTAAAAAAAGTGCTGCGCAGGAAATGTTTTCTAAAAGGCAACATATGTGCGCAAAGGGGTAAGTCCTTCTAACAGTTCGTTTAAAATTTCATTTGTTTTAATAAACGTAAACGTTTAGCGGCTTTTGCCTAAAGATCCGTGTAATTTTTAATATGTTTTTTGGAAAGAATGCTTTTTGAAATCTGCTATTTCACCAGCCTTCAATTAGGGGCTTCAGACATACTAAGGGCTTCAGGTTGTGGAAGGTTTTCCACTAGTTTTTGGAGTGAAGCAGCCTCTCATTGAGAATTCTATCAACTCATTTAGTGGTTAGAAAAAGTGGCCCATATAACAGAAGCATTACTGCACGAATGACTTGCTTGGTGACGTAATGTTTTATGTTAGTCTTGTGTTCAGCTTACCGCGATATAGCCCACTGGTTGCTGTCTGCGAAAAAAAACACGTAATCTCATCTTGGCAATCATGTCTGCCGCATAACTGTTTACCCCTAAAATATAGTAGAACTAGGTTGTCAATTTACACAATCCATTGAAAAGTCTATAGAGCACTGCACATTAAAGGCAACTAGAAAATCAATGAATACCAGTGATAAACAATTTTTCAGAGAGCAAGTGATAACTCAGTAGTAAAAAAACGCCATTGCTCACAACGGAAATACCGAATAAACCTTGAAAATTGTATTACAGTAGATTGGTCAGGCTGGAATAGGGCATCCGGCCCCAAGATGATGGCCACATACTGGAAACTGATTGATCAGGAAAGTTTTGCTTCTCATCATCATCTAACTTGTAAGAAGCCTGAGCTTGGCGACCCGATCTAGCGGGAGAGACCAGCACCAGAACTCCTTAACATTACCATGGAATGTGTCACCTTGTATGCCACAGGACGTATTTACAGGTTCCAGAAAGAAGTTCACAACTCGCCCAAGATTGTAGCTGTCCACGCGGGTCGATTATATCAACCAATCATTCCTACACACAATCGAGCAACAGCGAAGCACCACCGATGTCCTTTTGGTGACTTCATTGGTGCGCCTTCGAGGTCCGTTCTTTCTTTCAATGCGTCAGTCTGGATAGCGGCGCTGGGGCACACGCCGAGGTTGAGCCAAGGTGTCAGCGGCGTTCACGGCGTCCCTGGAGCCACGCGCATACAGAACGTGATGGCCAGGTTTCCGGACTCAGTGCGTGTTCAGGACGCCACTTGGGTGCACTGTGAGATCTGAAACGTAATAACACAAGCATATGCTCTAATTAACGTATATAATGCAGCGAACGCCCATGCCGCCTTTCTTTTTTCTTTTCTACTTTAAAAACGCAATGCGCGACATTAAGAGACTTTACATTTAAGAATATGCAAATATGGAAGCTCGAAGATTGTGCTAGATTACAGAATATGAGCATTTCTATGTCTTAAATTATGCTTCTATCGATGATGCAACTTAGGACATAGATTGCCCAATAGTTTGAAAGATGACTTGTGCAACATTCTAGCCACAAAGATTATTGGACCCAATAGCAGAAGTAAAGTTTGTTGTCTCGACAAATAGGTCCTACCTGACGGCATATTTCTTTGTTTCCTTTCGTTGCATGGCACAGATTTAAAGAGACACCGCCGAATATTTTAATTTGCTATAAGTTCGATCACATGCATCTAGATATAATCAATTTCTACTTGATTCTCGCTAAGCTTAAATTTTGCTTAAATTTTTATAAGAAACATTTTTTGACAAGGTCATAAGATCACCCCTGATGGCGAACGATAGCGTCAGTTTCGAAACATTTTGTTATTCAATTCACGGAATATCTTTCTTTAAATGTCAGATAGGATCAGCCCCGTCGCGTTTTTTGGATAAAAATAAAAGAAACTTAATATCAGAAAACTCAAAAGTGGCTAAGTATTGTTTTCTGTAGAATTATTAGTTTAATAAAAGTTAGTCGGGTACAAAAAATGGGCACTGCAATTTTTAATTAAACCTTTGATTCAGAATTTGTATGTTTAATTGCTGACCCTCATCAAAAATTCACGTAAAATCAAAATTTTCCCCCGTGTGGCAGTGTGGATCACTTCTGAAGCCAAAATCGCACCGAAGAAAGACTGAAAAAAGAGCGTTACATTAAACTGCCTGTCCTTCCACTGATGAAAAAGGTATGTCGGAAAAATTAACGATGATATTATATCTTACACAGAGACCAAATTACGTGACGCAGTGGAACAAAACACATTATCATTATGCATCGAAGCATTGACGTCGAGCGGACATATACTTACACGCAGTGCGAGAACAAATTTCTAACTGGAATGGAGGATCCCCCTTTTTAGTGGTCCCCAATCTCATCTATTAGGGAGTGTCACGAGGAAACCTCAGTCGCCTTTCGTACTACCAAATCCCACGCCAAATTGAAAAGATTCTTGCTGACGGAACACCGCCCAAACGACTGCGCAATTCTTTCGACCCCACTCTTCGTAATAGAGGTGAGCAGTCTGTAAAGCACAGGCAATGAGATACAAAAATAGAAGTCCATGTGTGACTTCACTGATGCTCGCATTTCAGGCGGCGCGCCACATTTATGACACCACGCCACAAACCTGTCAGTTTAATAACTGGGTTGCAAGCTCTACAGGGCGAACCCCCTATAACTCGAAGCTGCGAACAAAACTTTTTTCATTAATATAAGCATGTTTTTTACTGTGCTTCATCAAAACGTTAAAAATTTTGGGATGTTCTTATGCAGTACGTCCATTTGTTGTTTTATGTAGCACTTTATGAATTATGCACGTAAAGCTGTGACGAAGACGTTTCACTAAGCGTAACCCGGAGTTTATTCAGTTGGCCACCATTTGAGGGTTAATACGCGCAGAAATGTACAGTTTATTAATCTCTTGCTCAAACGAAAATCGGTGCATCTGCGAGTTAAAGAACGCTATTTAAAAGCCTAGTTGAACCGCAGCCATAATGTCTTAAGGACAAAAAAAAATAAGTGACTATACGGCCGATAAATATATATATTTATATAACTGTTGCTTCAATATAATTTTAGCTGCAATTCGTAAAAACTTGCAGCGTAGCCTTCGGACTGCCTTTAAGCTATCTCCGGTTCCCAAAAGTCCTAAGCGTGTCCCACAGACCGCGGTCAGTATCTCAATCTACGCGCCAGTTTCCTATTTCCAACCAAAGGCAGCGATCCAGACAGCTGGACACAGTGAAATCTGAAGAAAACGAAATGACACACAGATGACTCTCGATAAGGGATCAAAACACCGCGACCCCAGGATATCAAGTGTTGTTTTTCGAACTGGCGAAGGCGTCTCTGCGGATCCTGTCCTTTCAGCCGCAGTTTCTCTCTTTTTTTCTCTCTCTTTTTGTGGGGCGTCAATTTTTACATCTAGGTTATCACAACATTACCTCGCCTTTGGGTTTTTGTCGTGTTTAGTCGATAGCTTTAATGCACATCAATAAACAAAGACATATTTTCGAAAAGGAAGAAAAGAAGGAAAGCGAAGTCTCGCGGAATCCCGTTTCTGCCTGATCTCTTGAGCGACCCATCGCACGAAAGCCGCTCTGGCACCTCCGGATTTGTGTGAAAAAATTTTTCTTTTTTTTTATCCTTATTTTTTTTTCTAGTCGTTTCGTTGAGACACTCATCTCTTTTCTATCGTTTCATTGTGCTCCGTACTTTTTTTTCGCGATTTTGATTTTGGGGGCTCTGGTGTAAGAGAAAAACAATGCGGCCAGAAAGCTTTGGCAACGTTGGCAAAAATGCCGCAGGAATGTCTTCATAGTTTATTTTTTGCAATTTCATTTACGTTTTTTTTTTTTTTTTTTTGTGGGATACAAAGGCAGGGGGATGAACAATAGTGGCTGGGGGGAAAGATTCACGTCGCGGGTGAAGTTTGTGGCGCTCTGAAAGTTTCTTGTTCAGATGATGGATGCTGAATATGATTGACAGGAGGTCGGCTTGCCTGTTAGAAAGCAGAAATGGAAACTGTCGTCATTATTTTTGTTTTTGGCATGTGCCGCGGTCAATTTTCTGAGTTTTCTGATACTTGCAATAACTGTCTTTCAACAAATACACGAATTGTCTATGAACCGTGTGCTGTAGTAGTGCCAGACAAGGGTGCACACGAGCTACCAGAATTGCTTACTTTGGTAAACCCATATCAAGGTAGGAGGTCGCAACATACAAAGTCGTCATTTTGGAAGTACTGTGCACGAATGACTTTTTGGTGGTGTCCACGTCATATCGTTCAATGAAGTTTCAAGCTTCAATTGTTTTTTTTAAATATTTATATAAAACTTCAATTTTTATAAAACTTCAAGCTGAAGTGTTTTTTTTTTATTTACATAAAACATACATGGTCTTTTTTGTTTTTTAAAATATTTTCAGATTTGTTTAAAATATACCGTGAATGTTACTTTCGCGGTTTTTCCAGGTGAGTAACACGACCAGGGGGACATAGAATAAGTAACTAATCGCAACGATCACTCGGCTAATTCTTTAAAATTCATTAATTAACTTTTTAATTTGTGACAATAGAGATATGGTTTTAAATATACGCCTACTAAGCGTCAACGAAAACTACTAAATCAGCTCATTTTAGACCGACTTGAAGCTCGTGGCAAACTCGGGGACGCACCAAAGTAACCACTCGTGCAGCAGGCGCAAAACTAGAAGTTTCGAAACGCGGATGATCAGATTATCATCGCGTTTTGCCACTGCTAGCTTTGCGCCTGCTGCAGGATTCGTTACTTTGGTGCGCCCCCGAGTTTCCCATGAGTTTCAAGTACTTCTAGAAAGAGCTTATTTAGTGGATTTGGATGACGCTCGGTAAGTTTATATTTAGAATCATGACTTTTTTCACTAATTAAAAAGGTTATTCATGATTTTTAATAAATTAGCCTAGTTATCGCAAAGATTAGTCACCCATATAATGTCCCCCTGGTCGTATATTTCACCTGCACAAACACAATAAGTGTAGCTTTTACGACTTTTTTAAACAAATCGGTAAAGCTTGAAAATAAACGCTCTGGATATGTGGAAGACATGTTCTTGGGCTTTCAGCTACACTTGAACGTTCTACCTAACGTTCTTCCAGAAAATTTAATTTTCGATGTTTGAGGCGTCAAGATTTCTAGGGTCTTTCTATGGTAATTCACAAAGCCGCCAATTACCCACCTTAGCCTGCACGTTGTAATAATCTCTTCTACTTATTTTATAAAATGTTCGCGACAACTTCGTAAATTATTCGATATTACCGGTATATATATTTTTTTATTATTTCTTTAAAAGCCACGAAACACTGCAAGTCAACACGTTTGAGGCATATCGTCAGAAATTATTTACCAACAAACCATACTAGTTCGAAGTCTGGGAAACTTGTGAAAGCGACCACTCACCTCAATCAATTCTCAAAGGGATCCTTAACGTGTTGACTAAAACGTTAAGAACATCTGACTTCCTTTCTGGTAAAAATCCAGAAAGGAGGCCAGACGTGGCGTCGCTGTGCCGAACCAGGCTTCGTACACCCGCGACTCGTCTAGAGCGCGATGTTTTTCGGAGAGCTCGCTCCTGTGCCAGCAATATCAGGTCGCAATCCACGAGGTCTCTGTTTGGATGATGCTAGCCAAACCTTGAGGACTACAATCCATGCGTCGATTGCAGAGGGTTGGCAGAAAGGATTTTCACAACAGTGATGCCACCGTATCGTTTTTTCAACCGCAACAGAAGATAAGACATGTGCTTCAGGATGCTTCAAGTGGTCCTCTATTCTCAAAAATTCCAAATGACACTGCATGCACGATCTTCAACGAGGTCACCTACAATGAATGTACGTATTTTTTTTCATACAGCAGCGTGGGTAAAGTTTCATGCTCAAGGCCACACCTACAGAGCAAGAATACCTGTTCATTCTACCATAACGTCATGTGATCAATATTGACAAAGGCGTCCCTATGGGACAAGGCCGTGGTGACGTTTCGATAAAATTTAGGGTGACATAAAATTTATTTAGAGGTTGAAGTTTTTTGGAATCCCTCGTCAGTCAGACAGGATGTCAGGGAAGGTACCGCGTTCAGTCTTTGATGGAACGTTTTCTTTTTTTGTTTTTTTAGCTCAATGAAGACTCTTCGTCATTTTCGGGATCAAAAACTTCCACTTCAAACTTCAAGGTTCATTTCAATTGGCGCCTCAAACAAATTTGAAAATTCATTGCAGTATCAG